CGGTGTGGGGGGCGGGCCGTTCTTGGCGACGCGGGAGACGGGGGTGCAAATGAAATTCCTCTTTTTTTTCGAACTGGAGTGTTGCGTCTTCTAGTGGGAGATGTGCATTTTCCTGTGTCTGTATCAACTGTTTAAAGAAGGTGCTTAATAAAGTCCCTTACTCCTGAGCTTTCTTGGATATTGTATTAGTAATCTCTTTACGTCCTTTTTTTTTAAAAAAAAAAACAAAACGATTATTTTATGTGGTACAGAGTTTATAATTTGTAAAGTTGCCATATTTAGCAATTAAACACAGGACGCCCGTTTAAATTGTCAGATAAACAAGGAATGCACTTTAAAAGTAGATTTCTCGCACACTGTCATGGGGGTTACTTATTCTAGGAATTATTCGTTGTTTATTGGAAATCCAAATGTAACAGCGATTTGTGGTTTGTGGTACACTGCATTTATACTTTTCGTAGCTTTCAGTTTTTAACAGTATCTTTACATGAATACTCCTTACTGGGAATTGATAACAGAAAACCTACATTCCTGTCTAGCTAAAAATTCGTTGGAAGACATTAGTTATTTAAGAAAGAGCATTAACTCTTCAGCCATTTGATTATAGGTACTAAAAATGACCTGGAAGTTGGAACCAGAAAGTTCACCTTGTCTTTCTTGCTACAGTTGCTTTTAAATGTTGTTAATTTTGTTTATCTGGCTGTTGATAAAATCCTAATCTGTCAGTATTTGTTAAACCCCACCCATCCCCATAGATAACCATCTGGTTCACTAGTGAGTGCTACTTTATTGTTGAGGTTTTTCTTGATCACACTAAATAAAATAGATCCCCGACTATACCACCCATCCTTCTCTTTCTTATCCTTCCTATTTTCCAACTACTTACTACCACCTGGTACGTATTTACTTGACTATATTTGACTGTGTGCCCTCGTTGTAATTTTAAGTTTCATTTGGGTGGAAACATTTATCTGAGTTTTTCATTGCTATATCCTCAGCACCAAGGCAGGTTCCGTAGACATGACAGGTACTCAGTAAATACTGTATTTGTACAATGAATGAATGAATTGGTATGGGGAAAAAAGGGAATTACTAGCATAGCTCCCAAGAGAATGCTACTTACTGTCTTATTATTTAAAGATTTTATAATTAATACATGATATAGAAAATTATTGTTTCCCAACCTAGAACAGTAGCTTTCATCATTTCCTACAGTTCTTCCTATCATACACAGTGAGATTCTCCCACTTCATTCATGAACCTTTCTTAAAAACACCAACCTACTTCAAACTCCCTTATAATTGGCAGTATTAAACCTTGTATTATTAAAGGTTATTTGTTTTATTGTCCTGACTTGCTTGTAAGCCTTTTTTTTTTGAGCCCAAGGAAATAGATTATTTTATAGACCAACCTGTGTTGTGTTATATGTGTGTGTGTGTATGTATATTTGTACATATAATATATGACATATATGTTTTAGCATGCTCCTATTTGAAGGTGTGTTCATTAATTGTGAGAATGAGATTCAGAAAGTCGATTATTTTCTAAAAGTAAGTACTGGCACTCTTAGAACATTTTGGGGCAGTACTAAATATTTTTCTATGAACTGTTATATTACGTATAAGATATAGATAGGTATGTAAATTCAATGCTAATGTTTGGTTTTATTTTAAAACATATTTGTTACATATTTTCCTTAGGAAGAGAAAAGAGCCAAGCTTGCAGAGGCTGCAGAAAGAAGACAGAAGGAGGTGAGACTAAAAATGAAATTTTACCTATTTAGAGAATTTAGTACTTTATTCTTGATAGATGTCTATGACTAGTAGTATTTATCCACTATCCATATTTATTAAATTTATATTTAAAGGTAATTATTTTTCAAAACGATCTCTGTGTTTCTATAGGCTATATCAATGCACTTGTATTATCTAATATATGAAAATTATTATACATATGTATTCTATGTGAGATGTCCCTTTAATGGCAGTATTCCCTGGGATAAAATGACCATGCCTTATAACACACTGACAGATATGAAATAAGTTTAGGAGAAAAATGTGTACAGTTTCAAAATACCAAATGAAAAAATGATAATATTTTTTACATAAAGCTGTTGTAGAAATAGTCTAATTCTTTGTTACCAAAATAGACCAACACCCCGCTTCCAAAGCAAAAAACAAACAAACAGACAAAAAAAAATGCTTGGATACTAATTTTTATTGTTGTTTTTGTACCCTTTAAATTTCTTAAAGGCTGCATCTCGGGGCATTTTGGATGCTCAGTCTGTGGAACAAAAGAGAAAGCGGAAGGAAAAAATAGAAAAACAAATCGCTACATCTGGGGCTCCACCTGAAGGTGGACTTAGAGTAAGTATTAAAATTTAGTTAAGATTTAAATTGACCTGGAATTTTAAAAAACTTAAGTAGCAATCCATTCAATAACGTCCTGTTGAAATGGGTTGCCAGAACATTATGAATTAATTTAAAAGCATGAATAATACATTTACTTGGAGTAGGTTTACGTCCTTTTTCCCAAAATTCAAATGGTGTTTTCCTGATTATCTTAATACTTTATATAATTAATACTAATCTTAAATGTGTAGAAAACTCAAATATTATGGAAAAGTATAAAGGAGTCAAAATCAACCAAATTCAGTGTCATTTTGAAACATCATTTCTCGTTTCCACTCATACATCAATGCTACTAAATTCTGTTACACTATAAATTTGTTTTTGTAACCTACAATGTGTTTACTCGGTGATTTGATGTTTTTGCTCTTCTCCTTGTCACTCATACCATAGTTATGGAAATGTTCATTTGGGCAGTAGGGTGTACCCGAGTGAGTGTGACACATGCACCTCCCCGTGTAACAGTTGCAGCTCTTGTCACTGGAAATATAATGGTGGACAAATTAAACGAGGCCCTTGAACTTGGGGATCTTTGCAACCTATTAGGAGCATCTGGGTTTTATTTTACATGTTAAGACTTAGAAAAATAGGGTTCACATACCACTTATTTAGCCGATTCACTCAATTCAGTTTACTCTCAAAACTATATATAAATACATACATGTTTGTGGGGCAAGCAATTTAGGAGCATTCTAAGTGCAGATGTGATTCTGGCTCAGGAATGTCACATAGAGAGAAGATTTACCTGTGTTTTATAACTGTATGAGACTTTATCTAATTTCACTTAAATGAAATTAAAACACTTTTTGATTGTTAACTTTATAAATGTATAAAGTAATTGGTTTCAATATTAAAGTAAATAGCCATGACCATTTTGCTTAGTGTTTTAAAATACTCCTGACAATAGAATAGAATAAATTTAATATAAGGTAAAACAGTTGGGAGATAGAAGGTAAAATACTTTATGAAAAGTATAGATGCTTACTTTCAGTATTCTGTTGCGATAAAGATCTGTGTCATCAGTTTTACTTCATAGAGGTTTCTCAAAAACAATTTGTGCAAATTAAATTACAGGACTGATAATGATGCTGAGATTGATTTCATAGTATTAAAAAAATGAATTACTAAGTGACTTAAAGCCACATACAATGTTATAAGAAAATGATACTTTATATTTCGTTAGAATTAAGAAGATACTTATTTTACAACTCCTCAGCTAACAAATTTAACATCAGCTCTTAGATTCTACGAAACAAAGGACTGTCTTAATTAGCCCTAAAGCTTCCATGCCCTGAAGCCTATAAATTAAACATAAATTAGGCTTTATACCGCTTCTGGTCCCCTCAGAAGAGCTCACAATGAAAAACATCCCAATGTAAATTTAGTACCTTTATTTCTTTGAATGTTGTTCTTACAGGAAATCTCTCTGGCTTCCCTAATAAAAATGGCCCTCAAGGCCATCAGACTGGGCAGTGGTGAGATTTTCCCAGTAAGAGTGGCTCATTCTCATGAACCAACTACCGTTGCCACTGTCATTTCTCCATGGAATATTCCTAACCACTTCTGCCATCAACACACTGGCTTTAAGGGACATACTGCTTTCCCCTTGACCACATGAATGGCTCATCCAGAGTATTCCATTAAGTTCATAATAAAATGTAGGGGCTCAAGGATAACAGAAGGGAAAATGCAAGGCAGAGAATAACTTTAATTCTCAATCCCTTTGGCCTAGAGTTCTTTAAGGGCTGCTATCAGGCCTGTTGTTCAGGCTGGCCTGGAATGTCCTGGAATGTAGACAGAGTCCTCCTGATCTGACCCGACTCCATGGTATGAGGAAAATGTTCTTTTCCTGTCTGCCTGCCCTCCACATAGTCCTCTCCTGTCTAGCTCTGCCTCTTCCCAGGATATTATTCAGCACTGTCCTTTGGGAAGGCAGTCTTATCTTAAGAAGTCAAGGTGATGATGGCATCAGGATGCAGACTAGCATCAGTACAGGCTACACCGCTACAGGAGTAATGGCAGACCTCGAGTACAGTGGCTCTCAGCCCTGGCTGCACATTAGAGTCGTAGGAGGAGCTTGCAAACAAGGCTGACAAAATCTCTGAGAGTGGGGTGTAGCCATCAGTACTGGTTTAAGCTCCCCAAGGTCATCTAATGTCAAACCAGATTGAGAATCGCTGCTCTAGTGTTTTTAACTCTAGTCCTAAGAGATAGATGCATTGCGAAAAAGAGAGTCCCGTGCTAAAAAATTCTTTAAAATTCTGAATACTATATTGTATACAGTATCCCTTTCTTGAAAATTAAAAAGGGTAATCAATCTCTAAGACATTCTGCAATAAAGGAAAGCAAGTTTATTTGGAATAAACCTTAATTTTTTAAACGTATATATAGCCCCAATAATAGATCTTCGATATACTTGGAAAATACTACCCAATAGACTTAAAATATCTCTGGTCCTATCCCAGTGGCTGTTTTAGAACTTATTATTGCGGATTTAATCAGAACAACAAGTGGAATAATTTCTCAACTCAAGGAAAAGACTGCCAAACCATTATTTAATAGTTTCTACTATTTCTTGGTTCTGTGCCTCAAACAAGAATTCCTTTATTTTCATTTTGTAACTTCATTGTTGTTTTTGATTGGTGGATGTTTTTGTGGGGGGTTTTCCTTCACTGATTATTGGATATTTCGAATTTAGCTACCCATTAATTTGACCAGATATTTTTCTATTTTTAAATGATCATATATCTTCTTTCAGACACTGACTGCAAAGTGAAATTTTACTAAGCACTGCTGTTAGTTTGCATTTGCATATCCCAGCAACTTTCAGCCTTTTTCATCTCATGGGACATAAACGAATTACTAAAATTCTGTGGCACATCAAAAAATACATTATATTTTTTGCCAATAAGACAAAAAAAAGTAAAATTTTGACTCATTCACACCGGGTGGCTATTGTGTTGGCTGTTGTCATTTTTTTATTTGACAGTCTACGGGAAAAGAGGTCAGTGCCACCGACGAAATAGTCAGGTATCGTGTGTCTTAAAAATTCTCGTGGCACGCCTGTGTGCCGCTACACACTGGTTGAAAATCGCTGGCATATCCCATCGTCCTCTCTTTGCCTGTTTCTTCACATATTACATATTATGTAACCCTAAATAAAATTACTTTTCTCTGTATGTTTTTATTTTCTAGTGGACCGTTTCATAAAGGATAACATGAGTGAGAGTCTCCTGCCAGTAACTAGTATCTGCAATCAAGTGGACATCCTCCGTTTAACTTATTCTCTTTGAATAAATGGAGATTTAGTCTTTGTAATGTTAGTGCCATTAAACGCAGTGCTCTTTCAGTATGGAAATATTAAACATGCTTTTGATTTCCAGACTTAGAAAATGGCCAGATCTTTCATTGAATACTTACTTTCCTACATTTGCTTCTTTTGCAAGAGGTGGATAATAGTTAAATTTAAATAGTGAATATATCTGCATCGCATGAGAAGATTTTGCATACATCTCAAATATTGAAATTTACAATTTCATTTTTCCTCCTAGCTATTTATAGTTGTGCTGCTTAGCCTTATGTTTCCTTTTGTTTCATTATGTAATGAAGACTTTTGCTTAAACTGTATGGATTTAGTGCCTTTAAACTGATCATCAGGGAAAATCTTGAAAAATCATTTGAAGGGGTTATGTGAAGGAACACTGTAAATTTTTATAACTTACTATAATGAATATTTGTAGAAAAGATTTAATTTTTCTTAATTTATTTTTTACTTGTGTAGCTTTATAAACTTTAACAGATATTTCACATTATAATAATTATTTTTGCTTGAGTTTAAAGTTATATATTAGTGTGGTACCATCAGAGGGCAGTGATGTGCTGTTGTACAATATTAAATTCAGCTCCATGGAGATCTTTATAGTAACTGAATGAGTTAAACTAAGAATCTAGATGATCATACTGACTGGCAATGTATTTGTCCAGATTTCATAGATGTTTGTATTCTTTTGTATTTATTAAAAAGTGGTCATAAGATTTATACAGATAAGCATTTGCCAAGACAAATATAAATGTATGAAAGATAAACGTGAAAGTACTGTATTTTAAAAGGACTACTTTAAACATAAAAATATTATGAGGTAATTCTGTATGATGCATAGTTATAAACTTTGTAGGTTTCTATTACTAACATGAGTTTTATAGCATTTTTTAAAATATTTGATTGACTTCAGAGAAGAAGGGAGGGAGACACATCAATGATGAGAGAGAATCCTTGATCGGCTGTCTCCTGTATGCCCTCTACTGGGAATGGAGCCCGAACTCAGGGCATGTGCCCTGACAGGGAATCAAACTGATCTGGTTCATAGGTTGATGCCCAACCACTGAGTCACACCAGCTAGGCGCATTTTTGTTTTTTGAATATTTCTGTTTAATATATAATGAGCTAAAATAGAAGAATCACTGTATATTTTAATGAGCTATTGTGGTCGCTCTTTTGGATGGCAAGACTGTAACCTGAGCCCTATAGTAGAGTCTGCAGCTACTGTCAATAGGGACAAAATACACTGAGTGGCCAGATTACTATGACCACCCCATCAGTACAATGAAGTGAATTAGTTATGCAAATAATAATAATAATAATAGAACCTTGAGAGTATTTGCTTAGGAAGTTTTCAATATTCAGTATTTTTGGAAGTGTCAATGAAGTACTGATGGGGTGGTCATAATAATCTGGCCACTCATTGTAGACCAGCTTATTTGATTTACAGAAAGAAAACAGCCCCTGTCTCGCTCATCCCTACCATAAGACTTGTGTTATATTGCAATATATTGTGTATGTTAATTTTAATGAGTTTGAACTATAATATAGGTCTCTTGACTACTCATTGGAAAAATTACCTTTTCTATTATGGCATGAAGTATTTCATGATATCCATGCAAACATATAGTTAGGCTCAATTTCCTTCATCTCTTGGAGGATTAGTGGTGTTTTTGTTCATAAAGGATAGTGAAATCATTGAGTTGCATTTTAGAAATAAAATTTTGACTTTATGAACATGATTAACTTTTCCAAGGCCAAAAGGAAAAAGGATCATTAACAGCTGAATGGATGTAGAACTAGACGTATCGTCCTTGGACTGTGCAAATCCATCAGTTTTAATACAGAAAGAACAATTTTATCTTGCACTACATCCAAAAGAATTACCACTTGGGTTAGTGTAAACAAAAGGTCTACATCTAGGGGATACTGCCCTATTTCCATATACCACACTTACTTAACTGTTGAACCACACATGATAGGCTGGTATATTGCTTTATGGAACAGGGGGATGTCCTGCTCCAGCCAACCATGACCTGCCTTCATGGCTTCCCCAAAACCACCTAAGTTACATGGGCTAAGGGGTGATACTCAAATGTTAGGAATAGTGTCACGAAGGGGAAGGGAAAGGGGGAGACTAAATGCCTGATGGGAAACCTGACTAAATTACTACTAAAGAAAATTTGTACACACACGTACAGATGCAGCCATGTACAGGGCATCTCTCAAAGTTATGCATCACTTCCTAATGAAAACCGTATTTTGGAGCCAATTTACCATAATTCATAATTTAAATAGGGAAACAATGCTTAATATGGCACCCAAACACCCCAACCAAATTAGTAAAATGTAAATGTAACAGTAAAATGCATATGTAACTATTGTGTTAAAATGTAAAATGCCTGAATCACTGCTTTCTTATTCTAGTCACCGAACTATTTATATTAGTATGGCTGGTAACAAAAAGTTGTGTATTACATGGCCTCTTTGTTGACACAGTGCATGATTTTTTAAAGCATCTATATGTGAGGGACACTTGTTTTGCCGATTGCGTTTTCCCACACAATTTTTTGTTATAAATTCTGTATTGCCATATAGGATTATAAATATACATTTTTTCCCATGTAAAAATTGGCCTTGGCTCTCTCTGTTTAACAAAATTTTATCTCACTACATCTTAAATAATTAGAACTTGGGTTAGTGGTTAGGTTAACTTCAGCAATGCTTTCATCTCTTTGGGATTAATGAGAACAGAGCTAAGAGTCGTTTGGTGTGTTCATACAATCCCTGAATTATAAGTAGGCATGTTTCTTCTCCAATACTCAAAAAAGGAAATATTATTAGTCTCCTCTTTCCTTAGAGAAATAATACTGTAAGAGGGTCCAGCTATCATCCTTGGTGTACCCCGGGAGCATTTGGCATAAAACTTGAATTTTCTTTTTCTCTTCCAATAGTTCAACTTGTTTATTTGCTGAAGAATCATGCTATGCCCTTAGAACAGTGGTTCTCAACCTTGGCTGCACATTAGAATCAACTGGGAATCTCTTTAAAATCCTGGAGGATGAGGCCCAGAAATCAGAATTTTAAAAAGATTCCCAGGTGATTCTAATGTGCAGCCAAGGTTGAGAACCACTGCCTTAGAAGAAAGAGTAACTTGTCAATTTTAATTTGAATAATAACTTCTGCATAACTAAGTCAGTAAGAGGTCAGTAGATATGCATGCCTATCTGTGTCGAGGTTTGAAGTGTATTCCCTTCAACATCTCCAAGCATGCATCTCAGATTCCCATGACTGCTGTATGTGCTTTAAGTTGGCTCAAATGTGGTACTGTGGCCATTTTCCTTAATTTTCTCAAAAGCCACTGACAGGCATTTATATATATAGCAGACTGAAAAAATTCTGATTTCACAGAGATGTTTTTGTCCCAACAACTCAAACCCTTTAAATTTCTCATATGACATGGCTCTTTATTGTCTTGTTCTCCCTCTTCTAGATATGCATCATTTTGCAAATCTTGCCTCCAAATATGATCATTGTGGTTTAAGAACTGAATGTTCATCAATTACTTGACCTGGATATGATATTTTTATTATATCCTGAATTGCATTGTCTCTTCTTGTAGCACAATACTTGAGTTGTGTAGTTTTGAGTTAATGTCTTCCAGCCATAAAAACAGGTTTGAGCAATCTGTTGTAAGTACTTCAAACTTATCTCAAATGGAACTAATTCTACACAGAAACTGGCTCTCTGTAGGCTATTGCTTGGAATCTATTTCATCCCATAAGTCAGAAGTCAAGGAGTTATCCTAAACTCCTCAATCTACCTAATAACTCCTAAGGTACCATTTTCTCATTCTAAATTTTTTAGTTGGAGATTAGAACTATTTAGCATAGGTTTTAAAAAGAATATAAAGTGTCTCATGTAGAAAATTCCTACACAAGATAAAATTCCTACGCAAGATAAAATGAGTTAAGCAAGTATGCAGAATACTAAATATATGAAGGTCAATTCTATTTCTATTTGAATGTTAAAATAACCTGAAAATTAATATTCCAATCGTAATATCAAATAGGATAAAATATTTAGGAAAAACAAGTAAAAGATCTGAACTAAAAACTACAAAATGTTCCTGAAATAATTTTTTTATGACAAACGGTGAGACATTGCATGTTCACAGACTGGGAGAATCAATATTGTCAAGAGGGCAATTCTCAAATTGCTCAATGAATTCAATGCAAAATCCCAGCAAGGTTTTTCGGGGAAAATGACAAGATGATACTAAGATTTATATGGAGATCGAGCATGTATAATAGCCAAAACAAATTTGAAAAAAAGAACAGTAACTTTCAGTAGGGAGTCAGTAAGAGCCATCTGCATTTGGCCATTTCCTTCTGAATGTGGTCTCATTGTCCATATTCCTGGTGTCGAGTGCCATCCAGCTAGCAGCTAGACCCCAATGTCATCTGTCACCCTGTTCTTGGTGACACTTAAATAATGTGATATAGGCAGGAAGAAGAATGCCACTCTCCCCCAAACATGTTCACATCCTAATCCCTGGAATCTGGGGAGCATGTTACATTACATGGCGAAAGGTATTTTGCAGATGTGATTCCGTTAATGATCATAACATGGGGAAATGATATCGGATTAGGTGATCACATGGATCCTTAAAAGCAGAGAACCTTTCCAACCTGTGGTCAAAGAGATGTAAACAAAGAAGCATCCTTGTGGGATTATATTGTTTGCTCTGAAGACAGGAAGGGGGACCTGAGCCAAGGAAATCAGGCAGCCTCTGGAAGGTAGAAAAGGCAAAGAAATGGATTCTCTCTTCAGAAAGGAACAGTCCTCTGACACCGTGGTAGCCCAAGGAGACCCTCTCATGCTCTGACTGCAGTACTATAACAATACATTTGTGGTGTTAACATCAGAAAACAAAATTCATGAAGAGCTTAATAGTTTAGTTAACCTAGATATTTTTAACTAAACAAAATTATTTTTAATTATTAAAAATATGTTTACAGGAAAAATTTAAGCACAGGAGAAAATTTTGATGGAAATACTGTTGCCAGTTACTATACAGGGAAATTCAGTGTTAGTTCAGTAACATAAAAATCCTATCACTCAATATCTGTTTTTTGAGAGAGTACAATTGTTCACTGTTCCAAGGTGATTTCATTTCCTACAAAACTTTAATTTTTTTTCCCTCCATAAGGATTACTACCACTTCCAGCAGCACCAAATTACACTATGCCTATTAAACAACTTCCATATTGTGTCCTAATATAAGGTGACACGAAAATTTGCCTTTGGGTGGTGGACACACAGTGCAATATGCAGATCTTGTAACAAAGAAACCACACCTGAAACCTATATGTTCATGTTGACCAATGTCACCCCAATCAATTTAATATTTTTTTAAAAACACACACAAAACAACTTCCCTACTAACAGGTTGTGTCTGCTTTGATTAAATTGGTCATGTGGCAGACAGATACTTCCTCCCTGACTTTCTGGAGAAAAAAATTAAAAAGTGGGCGTTTGTTGTTGAAAAATGAGGAAATGACATTAACTCCGACTGTATATACTCAAGGTAGCAGCACTTGAGGGGCCACCTATGGAAAAACCTAGACTCTGCTCCAGCGGTTCTCAACCTGTGGGTCTCGACTCCTTTGGGGTTCGAACGACCCTTTCACAGGGGTCACCTAAATACATCCTGCATATCAGATATTTACATTACGATTCATAACAGTAGCAAAATTACAGTTATGAAGTAGCAATGAAAATAATTTTATGGTTGGGGGTCACTACAACATGAGGAATTGTATTAAAGGGTCGCGGCATTAGGAAGGTTGAGAACCACTGGCATAGATAAACACACACCAGTACAGGAAGTACCAACTAACTAAAATTTGACTTTTCCTTTAACTCTCAGGGAAAGATGCCATTTGAAGATTATCTTCATTTCCGAATAAAGCATTGATATTGAGACACATTTTTTTTTCAATTTATCTCTTTAATTCTTGAATCAGCAAGGACAATATTTTGCTGTTTATGGGTACAAAACAGCTCTGTCCGGGGTGTACAAGGGTATACATAAGTCTGTAACATGATTAGCTACAGTGAATAGACTTTACTAGACAGCATAGCAAAGTAGGATTAACTAAAGATATATTTTAATAAGAATGCTTTCAAATAACATGAAGTCAATGAACATTGGACTGTACAATTTACTCTGTCAAAATATAAATGTATGTCAGCTTATGTGTGTGAATGACACTGTCAGCCTCAACACAGCCATGTTTCTTAGGAATGTGTGGGGCAATTCATAAGCGGTTCTCTAGTGGGTGTACTGAAAACTTCCAAAAGTACCCCAGATACTTGGTCAAGGTAAGGGATAAACTTTAAGGCAATCTTCCAAGTGAATGCAAACTTTTCTAAAGTGGCCTTTCCAGTAAAGTTTTACTGTTGTGAATACTCTGTACTTACTGATAGTGCTGTTGGATGTTTTTAGTAGCACATTATCACACTAATTGTCACTTGTTAAAAATCTGGCAGTTAAAAAAAATGTCTGGGGTGCTTTTACTCTGTAGACATAAAGCAGGCACTTTGTTTTATCTAGAAATCCTAAAAAAAAATTTTTTTTTTCTTCTAATAACAGGTTGGTGTTTTTTTTACCTCTAGCTAGATTTGTATTTCTAAATACTGTATTCGCCTGTTGAGAAGTAATAACTTGCCTCCAGTTTGTCTAATCTAAATCTGAGTTTAGAATGCCTTTTCATAGGTCATTTTCTACAGAAGCATTAAAATAAATAGTGCTACTCTGTGAACCTTTTCCAATATGATGACACTTTCCTGTGGGTGACACCTTTTTCCAAAGTAATTTTCAGAGCATGTGAACTAAGCTGACTACCCTGGAGAAGTGGATACAGGCCATTCTGAGAGTCCCCTGGTCCTGACCCACTAGTTTCACTTAATCTCCTTCTTAGCCTTATAGTTGGCAGAGACCACCAGGTAATTATCTGGATTCATGTCCTTAAGGGTTGGAGATTTGCTCTGGATGGGGGACGTTTTGCCATCCACACGGGAGATCTGCAGCATCCGGCAGGGGTCGTGTTTCAACAAATACCCCGCGAACGTTTCCCATCCTCCTCCCACGCGGACCATGACGTGTTTGTTGTGCAGCATCTGAAATGAAAGGAGAGCAAGGGTGTTACATTCCGAGCGTTCTTACAGTATCTCGAGTTAACTTTCAGCGCTAAGTGTTGTGACTGCGTTTGGTCTGTCTTGTTTTTCACGCCCGGTTGTCTATCTGCTCGGGGCGTCATAGCGACTGACTTAGCGAACCGTTTATGAAAGAGGCTTCGTTTATGCCACGCGAGTGGGTCCCGGGTCCACATCCCAGAAGCCAGGCTCGCCCGGCTTAGTGAATGGGTCTGTGTCCAATCCCTGGATTGGTTTAATGTGTCAGGAGGCGTTTCTCTGACACCTGATAGTCCATTACAGGCCCATCTCTGCCCCCCTTTCCTGCTGCTGCCTCAGATCAGTGCTTCTATTCTCCCCACCAGGGTATCCGCCTTGGAACCGGGACTTAGAAGATTACGGAAATGTCTGCTATTGAATATAACACTAATAACCACACAAATATTTGATGCCAAATAGAACTGCAAATGCACTCAGGAAAACAGAAGTCTTCCAAGGCAAGATGTTATTGAATTGGCCCAAACATGTATGTTTGTTTTCCTCTACTCTTATGCTTCCTTATTACTTTAGAATACATCTTTTTAAGAAAACTTACCTTCAGGCCCGTGAGCCGTTCAGAACTCCAGGTTAACAAGGCTACAGGTTGAAAAGGTGAAGAATGTGTGGTTCTTTCTCGCAAAAACATGTCAGAACTGAGGTTTGGCATGGAGAGCCACAGAATTTGAACTTGGCATCTATCGGAAAATGTAAGCTCACGGGGCAAGGCGGCACCATCACCAGACCCTGCTGACCCTGTCCCCGGCCCACAATGTTGTGAAGACATACTGGCCATGTAATCTTGGGGATCTGGGAAGTTGTTCTCATTGCAGGAACTATCCGTTCTATTTAAATCTGTGTGTCAACTAGCGATCTGGACAGCTTTTCTCAGAGTATGTCTTGGTCTTTTCTCCTCCCTTTATTGGAAAGACCTGTGCAATTTTCTTGTGAATGGTACCGACTGTGTAACATGAAAGTGAAACGTTTAGCTGACTTTTTAAAGTGGAAAATGCCAGTTCAGCACCCATTATCCCTAAAATTGATGTTCTATGTCTTTGACTCCCTTCAAGCTGGGGATAGCTTGTGTTCATTTACTGCTTCCATCCACTTGTTGAGGATCTGGTGAAAGTTTTGAAATCTTTCTGTGTGCCCATACCCACCAAGTCCTGCATGTGTGCTTAAGGGTTTCACAGAGCCCAGAAATCCACCCACAGACTCAAGCTGAGAAATCCCAAGTCGTGGTTGGCACGAAGCTGTTTTCAAAAGCAAATAACAAACCTGCTGAGTGTCAATAATTAAAACTGTTAGACTCATGAGAGTTACATCAAGTAGGACCACAGGTTATTCTCATTTAGAATATTGGAATTTTAGAATAGACAAGTCTTAGGGAACACATTCTAGCTAAGAGTTTTTAAACTTATTTTAGCATCAGATTCTACATGTTAAACAAAATCTCAGTGGGATCCCCTGAAATATAAAGCAGGTACAAGGAGTCAGGATTTGGCTTTTAACTATTTTGCCTCCCCTGGTGCAGTCCACAGCATCATGTTTTTGTTTTGTTTTGTTTTGTTTCAGATGAAGATACTCAGGCCAAGATCTTTTATGTGATTTGCTTAGAATAGGACCCAGGTTTCCTGACTTCCAATCTAGTGCTCTTCCCACACAAATCCTCCGTATATATAAAATTCCTCCGGGCTTAACTAGGCTGTCCTATTCCCAGTCCCACAAGTTCCTGTGTATGCCTGTACTGCCTGCTTCCAAAACTTGGGAGTTGCTGGAACAAAGGCTGGTGTCAAAATCCTACTTTGACCCTTCCTCCCACTGTTCTCGGAAAGTGGCTTTGCCTATTGCTGAATTGCTGGCATCTCTTAGCCCTGAAAATTACAGTTAGAATTGCCTCTAAACATCTTTGGCAGAATGACCAAGTTCATTTCAGTGTGAGGCTATTTCAACCAGAAGAATCATTTTTAAACAATTAGTTAACAACTTTGAAAAACAGTAAAAGAAATGTTTAAGTGCAAACTCTCTTTGCAGAATCTAGTGAATCCATAGGCCCAAGCAAAGTGGATCCAACATGAAACAGACATACTGAATGTGCATAATATAGGAATTAAATGTCTGACCACCTCCTCTTCCATATCCTTCCTGTAGAAAATCAGCAACCTATAATTTGCTAAGAAAGTCAGTGGACCAGTGGGCAACAGTTTCAAGCCTGGGAATAAGGACCATTGGGGTTCATAGCCCTGTAGAAGTCCCCTGCCTTTTCTTGGTATGTGGTCAGTCTCAAGAAAAAAATGTAACACCCACTTTCATCTCCCTAAACAAAACCCCTCTTGTTTAACCTAAAAGCAAATCAACATGCTATAAACCAGATCTCTGTCAATCTTTTCTCCCTCCCCACCAGTGCTTGCCTACAAAACCCTAATCTTGGATCAGTGTAGAAATTGTCCTTCTAAACCAGGGGCCAGCTGCTGAGCTCTGCCGAAGAACTCTTTCCAACTCCAAGGCCAATTGCAATTAATTTCCTTTCTGTTTTACTTGGCTCCATGTCCTATTCCTCTCTTCTTCTTCTCACCCTTCCTCTCTCCATTGTCATCCATCTTCTGATGGCTTCACCTTTATTAGGCCTGGCTTCCTCTCTCTTGGCACCTTCACTGGCTATTTTACTTCATCCTACATTTATCCTTTCCTCCACCTTTCTAATTACAGAAAAGAATGTCTTTCTGCCCAAGGTCAATTCCTCCCCCACATCACCGTTCCCATTGCCACTCATGCAGAACCTTGCTGCATGGAACATCCCCTCTCTCTTCTCGCTGTCCAATTTATTATATAATGGTCCATAACCTTCCGGAAATAAACATATTCAAGCCTCTCCCACTCGTGTCCAAAGCAAAACTCTTCTTCCACCCCATCTACTCTGTTCTCATGCTTTCTCCTTACATCTGATATTCCTGATAGCTCAGTTTTCACTCAGTGTCACCACTTCTAACTTGCTATTCACTGTCCAACCCACAGTAGGCTTTGCTTCTGCCCCTAACCTCAACTGACTGCACTGGGAAAAGGAACCAGGTGGCTTCTAGAATTATCAACTCCAATAGATGGTCCTCAATCCTTATAATTTTTTATCACTCAAGTAAGCTCTCTGATAGTATCCACCATTCCTTCCTTGAATCTCCCTACTCTTTTACTCTCTCTGACAGGACTCTCTGCCCTGGATCTCCTGCTCCCTAGTTATCTGATTGTTCTCCCTCTGCCTCTTTCATAGGTGCGATTTCTGCTATTTTTAAGTTCTGCTGCTCTAAAGGATCCTGAAGGATTTACCCATTCTCCACGGCTTTTCTCATTCTATTTGCAACCTTATGGTTTTCACTACCCAACCTACTCTTGTTTCCAAATTGTAACTCTAGCCCCTGCCTCTTCCCTGAGAATCAAAATGCAAAGACATCCCTGTCCATCACCTCACACTGGAAGGTCCCTCAAGCCTTTGCTAGTAAGGTTGATGGCATGGGCATCTCTGTAATGAGTCAGAAACCAAACACATTCATTTCCTTCCTAAACATTTCTCAGGGTATTTGCTACCATTGCTACTGTTTCATTCAGTGCCTCACCTTTTCCCTGGGCTACTGTAAATGCCTGACTGCCTCAAGCCTTCCCCTCTCTTGATCCATTTATTAATTTACTACCAAAAACAATTCCTTAAAATGCAAAATTGATTGTCTCCTGCCTAAATACCTTCACTGGCTCCCTCTCTCCAGTAGGCTGAGATTTGGTTCCCTTTATTTGCATACATTATTCTCCATGACCAGCCCTGAAACCTCAACTGCCCTGCCCTGAGCTCTGGGACCCATGAATTCTTTCAGATTTCTGTGCCCGGAAAACATACTCTTTCTTTTGGCACATTTTCCACATCTGCCCTAACTGTGGACTTTCTGCTTTGTTCTCCCTATTTACCATGACCACAAACCTCCCCAATTCAAACATCACCTCCACCTGAAAAATCTATGATCACACCTCTCACCAGGGAAGTACTCCTGACTGTATTCTGTTTAGTTTACACCTTATTTTATTGTTTCACTCCTTCTACCATATTGCAATTGCTACTTTACCTGTATGACCCCTTTAATAATGTGTGGGCTCTCTGAAGAGAGTGGTGATGTATTTCTCATTTTGGTAATCTCATGTATGGGCGCTCCGAACAGTGTCAATACTGCAATCATATAGTAGTCCCTTCCAGGTATATTGCCACAGGCTCTACTTTGGTATATCACTATCAGTATTACTCCCATTTTGTGAAAAATGGATGCTCTTGGGAGAATAGCTGATGCTCTTATATAGCTTGTGCAAGTTCACTCAGCAAATCAGGGCAGAACCGGTTCATTATTACCACACCCAGTTATTCTGTCAGACTCCTAGATTTGGTTTTTCATGTGTCTGCTTAATTACTTACTTGTGATAATTCATCACAGGCAGGGGATGGAACATCAATGTCAGAAATAGTCATAAGTAGCTTAAGCAGATTAAATGCTCATGTAAAATGATTTATAGTGTTTACGTTCTAGTAAACCCTAACTAAACATTGAATTGAATTTCAGAAGATTATCCCCTAGCGGCCCTAATTATTTCAGAAATAAGCATGTCTCAAGTAATGACAGGATATATTTTGCCAGGTATCTGTTGGCATAAGCAAGACTGGGCTTTGATTCTCTGATGAGGGTATATCTACGGCTCTTTTATTTTTGATGCTTCACAATGTTGAACAATTTTGTGTTCTTCCTTCCAAAACATAACTTCTCTTGACCCCAGGAGCATCAATGCACATGTCAATTGGGTATTTAATATTGATTTTCTATGCTGCTGTTGGTTGCATTTCTTCTTGAGTAAAGAAAAATAAGTTAGAGTTGTTATAAATCTTCCCCAGTGCATGTCACAGTGTTTTTTGCACATTAGGTCTATTCTGACGGTTACTATTTTTTACAATCGGCCTCATTTC